CCCGAGGCTGTAAATCTTTACGGGAGCAGAAAGTCTCATCTTTCTCCTGCAGAACTGCTAGTAGTTTTCAACTGCTGACCATGAAGTTAGCAGCCTGACTCGTAACCACTATGCTACCAGAGCTCCTTACTTATGGGTGTAGTATCTCAAATTATTAACTGAGAGGGAAGGAATCTTCACATTTAGAATCAATCCTATCCCCTCTGTATACAGGGTAGATATGGACAGGCAACTTAGACACTGGCTACCTAAAATGCGGGGCTATAAAGGCATGAGGTGACTGGCTTACAAGATTTCAAGAGGGAGTTCATTTCCGTGTGCAGAAGAAGGTAGAATCCCCACTGAATTGTTTTCAACTTGTCTAGACTCGTGAAAGGAGATTAAGATTAAGATTCTTATGATTCAAAAGTGAGTAACTGTTATCATGACTAACTGCAACTGTTACATCTGTAAAGGTAGAAGCTTTGTAACAAAAAGAGGGGAGTATTTAATCTTATAGTCCAGGAACAGAGGACCCTAGGATCATCAAGGGAGGAGAGCACGAGCGGAATGTGGGACCCTATCCAGAGAAGCAGCAACACCAGAGATGGAGGCAGAAATGAGGACATGGAGAGACAGAGCAGCTGAGGACTCTAGACTAATGGAAAGAGAGGCTGTGTGCTGGCAGCCAGGAGGCAGGCTTGCAGAATGTGTCCTTTGGTTGCTTAAATGATTATATATTCTTGAGGGTTTCTGTGTACATCCCACCCCCCCTAAAAAAACACAAAGGGAATAGAAGCAAATACTGTTGACTCATGATAGACAGAGAAGACTGTAATCAATGCAATGAAACGATGCGTGTAAAACAGATGTTCCCCCATGTAAACTACCACTCAATTCACACACACACACACACACACACACAACAAAAAAAGTGGAAGGGTGTTGAAAGAGAAAAAGAGCCCTAACAAGATGGATTGAAACTGTGGCAGCACCAATGTGCTCAGACATAACAACTGTGAGGCTGATGCAGGACCAGGCAGTGTTTTGTCACTATGAGTCAGCATCTAACAATCTACACAAGCCAAAATACAATCTTGAGTACATCCCACCTGAATTTAGAGGCAATCTCTAGTACAGATTTGACACGTTGAAAATCACCACCACAACTTCTTCAGTCTGAAACTTATCAGATATGCAATCAGGACATAATTATTATTGGTACTGAGATGTAAAACTTGAAAACGTAGAGGAAGAATCAACAGTTGGCAAATATGGCCTTGTTGATAGAAATGATACAACAGATCACATGGCAGAATTTTATAAAACCAAGGAATCGTTCATTGCAAACAGTTTTTCTCAACATAAAAGACAACTATACACATGGACCTCACCATATTAAATACACAGAAATAAAACTGGCTTCATCTGTGGGAAGAGGTGGTAAAGAAGATCAGCCAAAACAAGGTCAGGACCAACTGTGAAACAAACCATCAATAGTTCAGATACAAATTCAGGTCAAAGTTAAAGAAAATTAAAACAAGTCTACACAAGCCAAAATACAATCTTGAGTACATCCCACATGAATTTAAAGACAATCTCTAGTACAGATTTGACACGTTGAAAATTTATGATCAAACACCTGACTAGTTGTGGAATGACATCAAGAACACCACACATGAAGAAAGTAAAAGGTCATTAAAAAGATAGAAAAGTAGAAAAGACCAAAGTAGATGTCAGAAGAGACCTTACAATTTGCTCTTGAACACAGAGTAGTAAGTAGCTAAAGCAAATGAAGAAATGATGAAACAAAAGAGCTGAACAAAAATTTCAAAGGACGGCTCAAAAAAACAAAGTATTATAATAAAATGTGCAAAGACCTGAAGTTAAAGAACTAAAAGGGAAGAACACACTCAGCATTTTTCAAACTGAAAGAACTAGAGAAAAAGTTTAAGCCTCAACTTGCTGTGTTGCAGGATTCTATGGGCAATAACTGACCAACACAGGAAGCATCAAAAGATGGAAGGAATACACACTGTCCCCAAAAGAACTCATCCATGCCCACCCATTTCTGGAGGTAGCATATGACCAAGAACTGTTGGCACTGAAGGAAGAAGCCCAAGTTGCACTAAAGGCAGAAAACAAGGCTCCAGGAGTTGATGGAATACCATTTGAAATGTCTCAACAAACAGATGCAATGCTGGAGGCAGTCACTAGTCTATGTTGAGAATCGAAGACAGCTACCTGGCCAACTGACTGGAAGAGACTCATAGCTGTGCCCATTCCAAAGAAAGGGGATCCAATAGACTGTGGAAATTATCGATCAATAGAACCAACTCCATGGCACTTAGCAACAACAACATCATTAATATCAAATGCAAGATAAATATGTTGAAGACCATTTAAAAATGATTGTAGCACAGCCCACTGACAGGTAGCTGGAATCAGAAGTGGATATGGAAGAATATCAGAAAAGTCTTTACTTGTACTTTATTGACTATGCAAAGGAATTCAATTATATGGATCATAACAAATCATGGATAACAATGCAAAAAGTGGGAACACTTAACTGTGCTAATGCAGAATCTGTACATAGACCAAGAGGCAGTCATTTGCACAAAACAAGGGCATACTGAATGGATTAAAATCAGGAAGGGTGTGGGTAAGGGTTGTAACTTTTCACTATTAGGAATGGAGAAGGCTCATTAACAATTAGCAATACACAGATGATAGAACCTTGCAAGCTGAAAGCAAAGAGGACATGCTAAGATTAAAGACTACAGCTTGCAGTATGAATTACAACTCAACAGAAAGAAAAAAAAAATTCTCACAACTGGGCCAATAAACAACATTTTGTAAAGAGAGAAAAGACTGAAGTTGTCAGAGATTTCATTTTACTTAGATCCACAATGCTTGTGGAAGCAGCAGTCAAGAAACCAAATAGATGTATTACACTGGGCATATGTACTTCAAAAGAACACTTTAAAATTTTAAAGAGCAAAGATGTCCCTTCAAGGACTCAGATGCACCTGAGCCAAGCCATGGTATTTCCAATTCTTTCATATGCATGTGAAAGTTGGACAATAAATAAGGAAGACAGAAGAATTGATACATTTGAGTTATGACACTGGAGAATATTGAAATTATCATGAGCTGCCAGAATGTTCCTTAGTAGTGAGGGTGGTGAGATTTCATCTCATGTACTTTGGATATGTTATCAGGAGGGGCAAGTCCCTAGAAAAAGAGACCATGCTATGTAAAGTCGGTCAGCAAAGAGGGAAATCTTCAGCAAGATGACAAGAATGGGCTCAAACATAACGACTGTGATGACGGTGCAGGACCAAATGTGTTCCATTTTACAGTGCATTAGATAACAATGAGTCAGAGCTGACTGCACAGTAGTAACTAACAACAGTGAGGATGACACTACCTTGTGTAGTTTCTTTGCCCTAAACACTCATCATGTTCCTGGTCTTTTGATCTTCAGTTCTTTTTTCTTTCATTTTCTTGACTCTGAAACCACAATTTCTTTAGCCAAGTCACTCTCCAGAATCAATGCAAAATAAGGGTTGTTCTACAAAACTTGTAAGTGCTGTCCAGTCAAATTCAACTCATAGCAACTCTGTATAGGGTTTCTGAGGCTTTTTAAAACTTTGCAGGAGCAGAAAGGTTTATCTTTCTCCTATGGAGCAGCTGGTGGGCTTGAACCACCAACTCTGCAGTTCTCAGTTGAGTGCTTATCCTATGGAGCCATGGAGCACTATAGATAACTCTGAGGGTATCTAACTGGAAGGAGGTGTCTGACTTCTCTACCTTGAACCTTCTCTTAAGTGTCCCAGCTTGACTTTATGGCCTCTTCCAATTCTGGACCTGTCGAAAATATGTGTCTAGCTCTTAGATTTAAAACTAAACATAGCTTCTATACACTCATCAGTGTTAACTTCTAAAGCAAGTTTTTATTTGCTAACAACCCAGGTAAGGCTTTTTAAATACTTGAGTATTTTCAATTGGCCTGTTGTGAATTTGGTGCAAATTCATCTGCTATAGAGAATTAAATTCAGTGGACTGAAATGTGAAGAAATGTTCGAGGCTCAGTCAGAAGCCCAACAACTATGCTCAAAGAGGTGGTTTTGATGTCTTGAGTTGTCACTGCTTAGAGAACAGTCATTGGGCACACTGGAAAAGAGTCTTGATGTCCAAGCACACTTCTGTTGAACTTGGCCTTTGAAATGTTCCTTAAGTGATAAAGTTATGCCTATTGTACTTGCCTGCTTAAATGACTTATACAACGTGATTTATACTGGACACCTATTTTCCTTCTGAGAGTCGGCATTTTAAGGGAAAGGAAATACATATATGATTAGGAGCCTTGGTGGTGCTGTAGGATAAGCACTGGACTGCTAACCAGAAGGTTTGCAGTTCAAATACACCAGCTACTCCACAGAGAAAGATGAGGTTTTCTGCTCCCATTAAGATTTTTATAGCTTTGGAAACCCTGTACAGGGTCACTAAGTTGGAATCAACTTGATGGCAGTAAGTATGGTATTGCAGGATAATGCACTGGACCGCAAGGTCAGTTTAGACTGTAAGGTTGGCGGTTCAAACTCACCAGCCACTCTTCAGAAACCCTATACAGGGTCACTATGAGTCAGAACCAACTCAGCGGCATTGAACAACAACAAAACTCAATTATAACCCCAAACTCAGATTTTCAAACAGATTTCCCCAGGCAGACATATTGCACACATGTAGCTGCAAGTCACTGGTAGAGGGAGGGTATGCTTAGTGTGGTCCCTCATGGGTGGGACAGCATAAGAATTCCTACAGACCCCAACTGATGTCTTTTTCCCTTGTTAACCTGTCAGTGTATTCTAACTGAGTTGCAATAACAAATCTTAGCTATTGAAAAGTAAAGTACCAAACAAACATGGCAGTGGGGACCCCAAAGCAAAAACCAATCAAAAGTAAACAAATTGGGTGTTTTGAAGAAGTAAATAATGCAAGAAGTTTATACACTTTACCTTGGGTAGAGGACTGCCGTTGCTGCTTTCGAATAATAAAAAGAATGGGTTCTTGAGCGTGTAGAAGGATGTATTCCACTCCAACCATCTGACTGAAAACAGAACACAGATCTACGCTCAGTAAACAATTCTACACAACACTCAAATCACTATATAAATGTGCAACAGCACTGTTAAAAAGGATGAAACTGGTTGCTGTTAGGGAGCCCTGGTGGTACAGTGGGTTAAGCCCTTGGTGCTAACTGAAAATCAGTGATTCAAACCTACCAGCAATTCCATGAGAAAAAGATGTAGCAGCCTACCAAGATAAAGATTTCAGCCATGGAAACTTTAATGGGCAGTTCTATTCTGTCCTATAGGGTCAACTTTTAATTCTAATGAGTTGGAATTGGGTTGTTGTTTAAAAAAAAAAATGACTATTGATTAAAATACCTATTTTCCCAGTTAGGTGGTATACAGATAAAATAGGATTTAGGTTTTTGTGTTTTGTTTTGTTGACCATGGCTTCTTCTTTCTTTATCGGTTGCTTTGTAAATGTTATGCAAGTCTAGAAATTACACTGTTAAATATTTAAAAACTGACTAGGACTAAAGTGCTGGTCCAGAGCTCCAAACCCCAAGCAGAAAGGATGGTGGTGAGGCTGGAGGTTTTTCCTCCAACAACTTCAAAACCTAGAAGACAAGGATCCTAAGCTCCTCCATGGGCCAAATCCAGAGATTAGAGCCCTGGGATATACCTCAGGTGCCTCTGGCTACATCACTATGCAGGTAAGGTGACCAGCCAGGGGCTGGAAGGGAAGAGCTACCTGAGTCCAGACATGGACAAAACTATGTGGGAGGACAATAAACAGATAGGTACTGTCCAGCTGTGGATAAGAGTGCAACTAAGGCAGGTTAAGGGGCAGGGGAGGGTGGGGAGCAGTACTGCAGCAATGCAGAAGCGTAGCCCTGGGTTTCATCTTGAGTGGCTGGTAAGGGCAGCATCTGTTAAGTCCCCAGTGGAACTCCTGACCCAAGCCTGGGCAGAGGGCTCACACATTGTGGGTCCTCTTGGTAAGCTGGGGTTCCTTGGCACCAGCTTGGATTTGAGGTGCTCCTTGTAGGCTAGGATGTCTCCAGGCCACTTGGTGACTGTCTGCTTCACACAGACCCAAATTTCCTGTGCCACCTACTGAATAAGTCTGAAATCATGGCTGATTAGAATCATGCCACCCGCAAATTCATTGATGGCATCAACCAACGCATCGACAGTCTTGATGTCCAAGTGGTTGGTAGGCTCATCCAGGAAGAGCAGGTGTGGGTTCTGCCAGGCCAGGCACACATGGCACTTCTGCCCATCAGAGAGGTTCCAGATTAGGCTCACCTGTTTCTCAGTGAGACCATATTGCCAATGATCTTCCTCTTGTACTCCAAGGGAGAGAGATCTTAATCCAGCTGCTCTTGTAAATGCTGATGGGTAACGCCCTATCTTGACATGGGAGTGTTTTCAGATCATTCCATCTGTGGGCCTGCTCCTGCTCTATTGGGCCCTACCAGAGTCACTCGTGTGTCGAGGTCAATACCAAATTCTAGGTTGTTGTACATGCTAGGTCCATCTTTTGTATACTTGAAGCTCACATTCTGAACCATAATGACTGGTGGAGGGATTTTACCACACAGTAGAAAACGATAGTGTCTTGTCCCTAACAACAAACTCTGTCAGTACTGATGCCATCATTTTTTATAGTGTCTTCTTCTTGCTCTGGGCCTGCCAGGCCACCTTGACACTGTCATGGCCAAACCTAGTAATGTAGTTCATGTGAGCAATCTGGTCCTGCTCTCCGTGAAAACGTTTCATCTGGTTCTCCTCCAGTTCTAGTCGTGTCTTCACGTTCTGATCATAATTACCGGTACAGTACTTCAGTTTCTTGTTGTGCATGTGAATGATGTCAGTACAGACACCATTCACAAAATCGTGGGAATGAGAGACAAGACCAGGATATGTGTAAAAGTCTTGAGTTCTTCCAACCACACACAAGCATCTAGATCCAAGTGGTTAGTGAGCTCGACCAGGAGTAGCATGAATGACCGAATGAAGAGGGCTCTGGTGAAGATAACTCTCATCCTCCAGGCCTCACTGAAGCTTTTTAGTTTCTTGCACTGCATGGCAGGTTTTGTGAAGCCCAGTCCATAAAAGAGCCATGAGGCCCTCATCTCTGCCTTGCCAGCTCCATCAGCTTCTCACGCTCCACATTCTCGTGATCCAGTAGCTCAGTCTCCCTCTCCAGCATGGCTCTCTCTGTGTCCACTTCCATCACACACTGCAAGGGTGTCTTGTCACTAGGGGGCATCTCCCGAGTCACATGGTAGATGTCAATGTGCTCGGAGATGGGCACTTCCCGTTTCCCAATAGCTGAGAGTAACATGGACTTTCCAATTTCATTTAAGCCAGTGAGGCCTAACATCTGCCTGAGTTTAATTCCAGTTTGGTGTCACTGAGCAGCTCTTGGCCATGAAAAGTGAGTAAGAGGTTGATAATATGGACATCAGTATTGTTGGGGTGAGAGGCTAAGACACCAGTGACAGCTTAAGCAGCAACTTTGTTTATTTCACAGCCCTCTAACTCCTTAGTCAGCAAATCCAACTCTGTGGTCTCACTGTCATCTGTGGTTCTGTGGCTGCATCTCCATTTTCTTCATGTCCCTTTCTGGTTTGTTGTCAAGCTTTAGCAGTTTCCTTCTTTTTAGCTGCCTTCTTGGTCATGTCAGAGGCCATGATGATGAACCACAGGTATAGGTCACTGTTTCTTCAAGGAGCCAGCTGGTACCCGTCCTTCAGCACCCCTCCACAGCTCACAGGGTCTCGCTGCTTGGCCTGTCAGGGTTTAATTTTTAAACAACAAGGTTTCTTCACAAAAACTCATCAGCAGCTGAAATCTGAATATTTTCCATTGTGAAAGCATTCTGAAGAGTGTCCACTTCAAAAAAGTAGTCAAATGCCATGATACATCTTGATTTAGAAGACCTAAATATAATGTTAAAACATGCATGAAGACCCAACAACACATTTTATCCCCAACGAGAGTCCAGGTAGAGTCCTGGTGTGGAGCTATGGGATAAAGTACTAGACCACAAGGTCAGTTTGAATCCCAGGTCAGCAGTTCAAACTCACCAGCCACTCCATGGAAACCCTATACAAGGTTGTTATGCGTCAGTACTGATTGACAACACTAACAACAATAACAGAGTCTTGGTAAAGTGGTACTGTAGGATAAACACTGGACTGCTAACAGCAAGGTCAGTAGTTCAAATCCACCAGCTACTCCTTGGAAATTCCATACAGGGTGACCATGAGTCAGAACCAACTTGACAGCACTTAACAGCAACAGAGAACATAGAAAATCTTATCCTGACCCCATCAAAAGTTTTATCAGCTATAGTATGTTTAAAAGCAAGAAAAAATGGTCTTAATATTTGTAAAGTATTTGACTCATAAGTCATTTAAGACATCACACAAACTGAATTCCTTGATTCTCCTGATATTCAAGTGACAGAAAATTTCATAATAGTAAAAAATAATTTAGCATCTGAAGAATCTTGCTTTGCATTATTACTTTGATTAAAATTTAATTTCCTTAATTATAATACAAAGAATAACCTGCTATAAGCCAGACTACTGTAAAAGACATTAAATTAGATGTGGAGACAATAAAAGTATCTGGCTATAAACAACACGTTGCTAAAATCACTCATCCAATGTACATTTAATCTGTTATACTCCATTTGACAACAATACATAAAATTATGTAGAAAAAGACTTCTTAGGTTGCAAGTGACTATTAATAACTCTTGCATATCATCTTTGTAAAAATTCAAACAAAACTCTCTACTTCTAAAAGTTCTACTGTGTACTTTATGATCAACAATTGAAACATTTACTATAAAAGTTTTATTGGCTATCTTTTTAAAGCAACTTACTTTAAATGTTCTAATGTCAGTCTTTGCATTTTGACTACTTCATTATTACATGTTCGGTCGTAAAAAGGGTTACTTCTTTCTGAAAAGTAATCCAGGACACTACCGCTGTTCAAAATAGGGATCCAGGCACTGTCAACCCAAGAGATTCCCAGCAGATTATCTATAGGAGAAAAACAAAATGATAAAGGATGAAAAAAGAAAGAGTCCAATCCACCAAGCTTTAATCATGCATCTAATACATAGGTACTATAAATATAAGGCTGATATTGATCCTAACCCACATACTCTCAGTCTAATAGAATACACAAGTACAAAAAGAAAGCAGTAACAGCACAATATGATGCAGGCTGTAATAAAGATATGGATAAATGTGTTACAAGGCAGAGAAGAGAGAGCAGTATACTTAACCTGGGAAGCAGGGATGTTTTTTAGAGGGCAAGGAGGATGCGGGACTCCTGGTGTGGCACTGTGGGTTAATGTGCTGGACTGCAAAGTCAGTTTGAACCACAAGGTTGGCCGTTCAAGTTCACCAGCCACTCCTTAAAACCCTATACAGGGTCATTATGAGTCGGAATCAACTCGATAGCACTTAACAACAACAACAAAGGAGGATGTGAGTTTTAGAGATATATGTTCAATACTAAAGATAGCTTCACAATGAAGAAAAGGGTAAAGTGATGTCGTGTATATACAAAGATATGGAAATAAACAACCGTATTGTATATTTAGAGAGTAATCTGCCAGAGGTAGAGGCATGATGTTGTTACTGTGCGCTGCAGCGTTCGTTCCAACTACAGACAGCAGAATGAAACTCTACCTGGACCTTCCTGTACTATCCCCACAATCGTTCCTATGTTTGAGCCACTTGTTGCAACTAGTGTCAACTCATGTCATTGAGGGACTTTCTCTTTTTTGCTGGCTCTCGTATTTAACATTGATGTCCTTCTCCTGGGTCACAGGATTCAGAACAGGATTTTGTTGTTGGTAAGTGTCATCAAGTCGATTCTGCATCATAGCGACCCTATATAGGGTTTCTGAGGAGCGGCTAGTTCATTTGAACCCTTGACCTCGCAGTTCAAAAGAACCAGTACATATCTTGCCACACCAGGATAGAGATGATCTGACAACATTGTTGTTGTTGTTGTTAAGTGCCGTCGTGGCAATTCCGACACATAGTGACCCTGCATAGGATTTCCAAGGAGTGGCTGGTGAGCTTGAACTGCTTACATTGCAGTTCAAACCGATTTTGCAGTCCAGCGAATTAAGGTGTAGCAGCGTCACACAAGGACTCTGAACAACTTTAGATTAGCTGTTAAAAAGAAACCACCCCCTGTTTTCAGTTAACAGTTGGGTGTTCGACGAAAGAGATCACGGACTCAAAAACAAAGGACACTTAACAAACAACACAGGGCTTCACGAACAGGGACACATGGGGCGCAGGTCAGGAAGAAAGCAATCCCATGCCAAGACATAAACGATGAATCAAATCAAGACTGCTCGTAGCCCCACTCCTCTTTGCCCTTCATCCCAAATAAAATATCCCCAGTAATGTTAGCGAGATATGTGTAGGGCAATATTGTCGATCTGACGGATCTAAGTCCAGAGCTTCTTCCAATCCCTTCGCTTCCATGCTTCAGAGACCCAACAGGAATTGGGGAGAAAAACGGTAATGTCTCAGCAGAAACCATTCACAAAAGCTTGTGACTATTCACAAAAGCTTGAACACTAGCCCTCGCGAGTTATAAACCCCCAATCCATTTTACAAAGATAAAGAAAATAAAACGTAACAGCACAAGTTACCTCGGATATCCACCGCCGCCATAACGCCAAAAGCGTTTGCAGGGCCTTCTTCCGGCGCAGAGTTAACGTAATGAATATGACGACCAAAGAAGTCGGTTTCAGACCAAACACAAGGAGTGAAGAAAAGCAAAGAGGGGAGGAAATAGGGCGGGGAGGAGAGGAACGGGGCGGATATGGGCGGGGCCGAACGAGCTGGCACTGGGAAGAGGTAGAGCGGGCGGGACCGTGGCAGGGTCTGCACGGAGGGAGTAAGGCAGGGAGAACTAAGTGGGGCGGGGCTGGGATCTGAGAGCTGCAAGCGTACGAGAGAGGCGGGCCGGAATAAAGTGGATTGAAAGAGGAAAAAGGAGAGCTGGAGCGGGACAGAGAAAATCCTGGTAGAAGGAGGGATCTGTGAATAGGGGCGAGGAGAAGGGCGGGGTGGGCAGGAGCTAGAGGAGAGGGCTTGTCGGAAGAACGAGAAAAAGGAACAAGCAGAATAGACTTGTTAAGTGCCTTGGAGTCGATTCCGACCCATAGCGACCCTGTACAGGGTTTCCGAGGCTGTAAATCTTTATGGGAACAGAAAGCCTCATCTTTCTCCCGCGGAACAGCTGGTAGTTTCGAACTGCTGATCTTGCAATTGGCAACAGGATTCGTAATCACTACGCTACCAGAGCTCTTTGGGCAGAGTAGACTAGTAGGGGAAAAATCATTATTGTTAGTGCGGTCGAGTAGGTTTCAACAATTAGCAAACCTATGCAAAACAGGAAAAAAAATTGGAGTCTTAAAGAAAAAGAACGGAATCCTAACGCATGAGCGCCGCTGAGGGATTCCAACATTCCATTTTGATCGGGGCTCGTTAAAAAACAAATCTGATTCTATAGAGTTGCAGGTGGGAGCATCGTGTAGTATTTAAAGTTCCCCAGTGTAACCGGACTGCTGGTGTGGCTTTAACTTTGCGTTAAAGCGCAGGATTGCAAAGTCCGTTTGGACCACAAAGTCGACGGTTCAAGCTCACCAGTCGCTCCTCGGAAACCCTATACAGGATCGCTATGGATCGAAACGGACTCGATGGTATCTACTGAGCTGTTAGGATTTAGGAGATAACTGTGATTAAGCGCCCTCGTGGCACTGTGAGTTAGTCGTGGGAAGGCAGTTCAAACCCACCAGGCACTCCCGCTGGCGGTCGGTTCCCATTGATTTACAGCCTCCGAAACCCAAAGCAGCAGTTCTACTGTCGTATAGAGTTGCTAGGAATCGGAATTCACTCATGGCAAGGGGTTTGGATTTTAGTGGTTACGCATCCTGATGGTTAAGGTTTCCCACCACTAGCTCTGTGGGAAAAAGATGTGGCAGTCTGCTTCCAGAAAGGTTTATAGCTTTATAAACTCTATGGGCAGTTTTGTGGTGGAGTGGGTTCGACTCATAGGTACCCTGTATAGACTTTCCAAGGAGTTGCTGGTGTTTGAAATGCAAACCTTACGTTCAGACCACCCTTGAGGTACAATGCTTATCCTACAGTACCACACCAGGACTCCAGGACGTCAGAGTAAAACAGTATAATTACAATTATAGCTAAGGCAATCCTATGGGGCAGTTCTACTCTGTAACACATAGCCGAGGAAATCCTACAGAACACTTCTTCTCTGTAATGCATGTGTGGAAGAGGAAAAAAGATGAAACTGTCTGCTCCAGGAAAGATTCACACTCTTAGAAACCCTATAAAGGATCACTATGAGACAAAATTGACTTGATGGCAGTGTTGTTGTTATTGCTAAGTGCCGTCAAGTTGGTTCCAACCCATGCTGTTGTTGTTAGGGTGCCATGGAGTTGGTACCGACTCATAGCGACCCTATGCACAACAGAATGAAACACGCCCGGTCCTGGGCCAACCTCAC